GCCAACAAAAGACCACAAAGCTGAATGTTTGATTTTGCATGGCCATGACTAATTCGTGCAATTCATTATTTGCACAGTACACACAACTATACATATTGCACATGCAAATAACTAGACATATTGCATAATAAATATCAACTGTTAGATCACCCAAAATGAAGGGCCAACAAAAGACCACACGTTCTCACCTTTTATATATATATATATATATATATATATATATATATATAGAGAGAGAGAGAGAGAGAGAAAGAGAGCATGTTAACTCAATTTGTATAAAAGAAATTAAAATATCCTTATATTTAACATTATTAAAATATATTTATTCGCCACTAATAAAAAATGACCATAACACAATAATACTAGAACCAGCATCTATCAATTAAGACCAAAAATGAAATTAGTTTTCCAATTAAACTGGTAAAAAGTATACATACCCAGTAAGCAGCAGTGATACCGCCGATACCAGAGGAGAGATGGATGACATAGCCGCCTGAATAGTCAATAACACCCCAGTGGAAAAGGAAGCCGCCGCCCCATAGGCTGAACGCTCCGACAGTGTACGAAAACGTCAGCCACAATGGCACAAACATCATCCACGCCTTAATGTTCATCCGACCCAGCACCGACCCGCCAAGAATGATCACCGTGATGGCCGCAAACACGCACTGGAACCACACCATCGACGCCATGGGGTAGAGCGGCGTCGATGTCGGGGTCTCGACTGTGACGCCGTCGCTCAAGTAGTGGGTGGTGGCGGGGAGAGCGGCCTGCCTACAATAGTATACTGAATCACACCCCTAAATTTTGATATGGTGTAGTATGGTTTATGATATAATGAATATAATGATAGCTTGCCTGATGAGGAAGTTCTGGGCGAGAGCAGGGCCGGGCTTGGCCCAGAAAGGGAGGATTTTGTCGCCGAAGGACATCTTGTACGCCCACGTGACCCAGCAGATGACGACGGCGGCGAAAGCGTAGAGCGCCATGAAAGCGGAGTTAACGGCCCATTTCTTCTTGACGATGCTGCCGTAGAGGATGACGAGGCCCGGTACGCTCTGTAGGCCCACTAAGGTGGCGGAGATCATCTGCCATGCGTTGTCGCCTTTGTTTAGCCAGTCCGGCGCCGTCGACGTGTTGTTCTGGTACGCCAGAGGCACCACCGTCGCCGCCATGATTAATTAGCTGGTTATGAATTTCTTTGAGCTCAATACTGGGAACTCAGTTTAATTGCTTATATATTTATATAATGATTTTTCAATATTAAATAAAATGATAATGACAAGCTAAACTACCTATAAAATAAGTTACTTCATATATATATATATAGAGGCGGGTTCAGCTGCGGCAGTGTCTTACGGTGCGGTTATTTCTTACGGTGCAGCAACACCAATAGTTCACCAAATATGCACCATCAACGTTAGGAAATACACCACACAAAACAGAGGAAACAGAGCCCTGCATCACCAAACACACACCATTAGGTGTGAGTAAAAACACCATACACTGTTCGGAAATACACCATTGGGGGTGGTGAGTTATATGGTGTGTTTTTTTGAGTCTGTGGTGTATTTTATGATGTTTTATTACATTTCATTGGGGTGTGTTTTTATTACACTGTTGGTGCATATTGTTAACACTGTCGGTGTATTCTGGAATTTGACCGCACCGCCGACCCCGCCGCATATGAGCGCTCTTCTATATATATATATATATATATATATATATATATATATATATAAAAGACCGTCCCAGCACCCAGATTTACAAAACTGTCCTAGCACTCACCACCTCTGCTCCTCCTCCACCCTCTTCACAGCCTGAAGTTTGGCTTGTTCATCGTGGAGGCCGGCTAATGAAACATCAAAACAAAATTCCCTTACAGAGTTTATTTTGGCATTTGATTGTTACGTTGTTTGTTTAGGGCGGGCATAGTTGCGTGGGTACTGGGTATGTAGCATTTTCTTGAAGTCTTGCAGGCACGGTGCTTCAAAAATCAATGTGAAGCTTTAAAATTTCGAAAGTTTTTCGTTTAAAAAAAAATTGAATTTTTTTTTGGCTTTTAGTGTTTTGCCAATACAGCTCATGCTTAATTACCGCGCTAAATCACATGAAATTTCCAGGAACCTAAGGCGAGATTTAAAAAAAAAAAAAACAATATAATAATAATAAAAACAAACAAACAAACAAAATTGAAGCTTGATTGGAAAAGGCGTTGCATGGAATAATGGAATTTCTTTGCATCGGATGACTTATGTTTATTCAATCATTATTATATGGTTTCTTTTATACCACGTTTGGTTCACGGAATGAATTTTGAGGTAATAGGAATGCTATTCCATAAGGAATGGAATAGGCAAGGAATAGAATAGAATATGAATTGTATTCTATTGTTTGGTGCACGTAAGGAATAGACTTTTGGAATTATATTACAGTGTTTGGTTGATTTAAGGAATAGAAAAGAAATATGTTTTAAAAGACATAAATACCCTTATAAAAATATGTGATGGTGGCGATGGTGGTGGTGGTGGTGGCGGCGGTGGTGGTGGTGGTGGCGGTGGTGGTGGCGGCGGTGGTGGTGGTCGTGGCGGTGGTGGTGGCGATGGTGGTGGTGGCGGTGGTGGTGGTGGTGCTGGGGTGGTAGTGGTGGTTGTGGCGGTGGCAGTGGTGGTGGCGACGGTGGTGGTGGTGACAGTGACGGTGACGGTTGTGGCAGTGGTGGTGGGGGCGACGACGGTTGTGGCGGTGGCAGTGGTGGTGGCGACGGTGGTGGTGGTGACGGTGACGGTTGTGGCAGTGGTGGTGGGGGCGACGACGGTTGTGGCGGTGGTGTTGCTGGGTGGTGGTTCTGGTGGCGGTGGTGGTGGTGGCGGCGGCGGCGATGATGGTGGCGGTGGTGGTGCTGGGGTGGTAGTGGTGGTGGTGGGGGCGGCGATGGTTGTGGCGATGGTGGTGGTGGCGGCGATGGTGGTGGTGGTGGCGGCGGCGGCGGTGGTGGTGGTGGCGATGACGGTGGTGAAATAGGATAAATTTATATATAGGATAAAAAAATAAGGTTAAAGAAATGGGTAAAAAAAAATAGATTCTAAAATCTATTCCTGAGCGTTCAGTAATAGGCTAATACCAGGGGGGCCCTAGTAATAGCTATTACCTTATTTGAGGTAATAGGCTATTACCAGGAATATTATTCCTAGTAATAGAAATGGTTACCAAACAAAAGAATAGGCCTATTACTGGGAATGCTATGTCATTCCCGGCCTATTCCGTGAACCAAACGGGCCATTAATGAAAAGAAAAACGGCGGCCGTTACATCTATTACGATAGACTTATATTTTTTCTTTGATGCTTTACGTTTCTTTATTTCAAGATCAGTAAATAAGGCCGCTCATGCTTTGGCTAGAGCAGTTCGTTCCAATTTTGATTTTTCAACTTGACTTAATATTGTTTCTTTTTGTATTGAACACTTGATTTAATGGTGAAAGTTCTTTGATTTTCAAAAAAAATAAAATGAAATTGCATAATAGATTTCATATTGAATGTATATTATCTAATGAAACTATAGTTATAATGATACTTTAGTTGTGATTTAATGAAACTATAGTGTGTATAAAATGAAATTGAATAGCATGTCTCACATATTGAGTGTAGATTGTCAAATGAAACTATAATTGAATAAATGATATTTTAGTGGTGCCGTAATGAAATTGCATTGTGCATAAAATGAAACTGAATAGCAAGTCTCACATATTGAATGTATATTTTTAAATGAAAATGTAGTTTAATTAGATACTTTGGTGGTGTTGTAGGCTCTGTTTGACAGAGCTTATAACTTATTTTAAACTACTAATAAGCTATAAGCTATGTTTAATTTGGTAATGTTTTCAAAATAAGTTACTCACGTAAAATAAGATATTATCTTGAAACGCTACCTTAGGTAGTTGGTAGTATAAGTCCCGACCGAGAGCTCCACGTGTACTTTACGTAGCCTCGATCCGTCTGTCGATCGGTTAGCCCGACCGTGTATCCGGCCGCTACTTTCCCGACCGCCTTGCCTTTGCCGTAATAAAGAAGGGACAACATGTGTCAATAGAAGGAGATGACAAAGAGCTAAGGTGGCATAGTGACACGTAGAAGACATGCTTGCAACATGCTGATGAAGATTAAAGCTATAAATACCCTTTGATGGCTTGAGTTAAGGGACTTTTGGAAGATCAAATAGACTTGACCTAGAGCTGCCCGACCGCACCCGGTCGGTCCTCGAGTTGAGTCGTGTAGATTATCCTTAGGACCACGTGTATTAACATTATCATTTTGACGCCGTCTGTGGGGAACGACACGAAAAGTCACTAGTGTCCTATACCCAATTTCAAACATGTATCCTTTCATGTATTAGCAAGATGACGAAGAAGCTAGTTCGACCGAGCAATATACACAACATGGTCCGACTGTTGATCTCAATCTTACACCCGGGTATCAAGCCACGCCCGGCCCGATTAACTATATTCATCCTGCATTGCAATTACCTTTCCAACCCTTACAGTATCCGGTTCAACAGATGCCTGGTCAACCTTACCCCTATTTAGGAATTCCGTAGCCTGCATCTGCAACGCCTTATGGGTATTGGCCCGGCACTCTGGTGTATTATCCTACCGCTCCTTATACACCAGTTTCTACAGCTTACCCGCCTTTATTGGTCGCCCCTGCGTACACGGCTCCAGCACCGCCTCCTCAGCACCCTACAACATCTCGGACCGAGCCCGGGCTACGACCTGCTCCGCAGGTCCATCGCTCGGCTCGTTCTCGGTTAAGGTCGCAGTGGGTGGGGGCGGAGGTACCACGGCAGAAGGAGGAAAAACCACAAGGGGATGAGCAAACTACACATGTGGTAGCAGATCCAGAGCCGCGGGTTCCGCAGGCAAGTGCTTTCGAAAGACTTCGTCCCCCTCTGCATCAACGTTTAGGCCCTTAGGATGCAGATCGACGATCGATTGACTCACCCATGAGACCCGTTAGTCAGGGAGATTCATCTTCGGAAGGGACTCAAGCGCCTCGTCGACGCCGTGCCCGGGATAAAGCCCCGACCGCTGAACAGCTTGATGCGCAAGGGCAGTTAAACGAAGTTAGGCAAGAGTTTAGTCGATGGAAGCGTGAACACGCGACGGGTCCGTCAGAAGCCACCACCCCATTATTGCGTACACCTTTCATGAGTGAGATAATGCTTCAGCTATATCCGTACGATTTATGCATCTCGGGTAGTAAGGATTATGATGGACGGACAGATCCAGAGGTCCATGTCAATTCATATTATGGAAACATGTTGATGATGGGAGTTTCCGACGCAGTTATGTGCAGAGCTTTTTATTCCACGTTGTCCGGGCGACCAGCCGACTGGTTCCGGACGCTGGAGCCAGGATCAATCACTTGCTTTGCTAATTTGGCTACCAAATTTGTGCGGAAATTCGTCACCTCAAAAGCAGTCCGTAAACACTATATGTACCTAGAAAAGGCAAAACAGTTGGAAGGGGATAACTTAATAGATTTCTTGAGTAGATGGAAAATCGCCATTGGAGAAATCGAACCCATGGATGATTTAACAGCTATTCACATGTTACATATGTCTTTAAGTGCTGGAGATCTGTACCAGGATTTTATCTTGCATCCGCCCGGATCGTATGAAGAAGCTCTTCGGAGAGTCACGTATTATGCTAATGCTGGTGAAGCCAATGCCGCGAAGAGGTCTCAAGAGGTCGGCTCGTCACATAAACCCACCGGACGATCCGAGAACCGTTTGACTGATCAACACGCCAGGGGTCGGGGACGCCAAGGCGATTTCACACCCCTAAATCGCTCGGCCGCAAAGGCTCTGCAATGCGCTCAATCGTGCAACCTCGTGAAGTTGCCCGATCCCATGCGAGATGGCAAAGATAAAACCAAGTACTGTGCTTCCCACCGGTGCCAAGGTCATGATGCAGAGGATTGCACCAATTTAAAACAGTTGCTGGAAGACTTGTTGAATGCCGGCAAATTGGATAAGTGCGTTGGAGAAAGAAAATCCAGCAAGCGTTCGGGAGGCCGAAGAGGGTCCAGGCGGTCGGATCACGACCGGAAGGATCTTGAACCCGATCAGGAAGCTCGCCCTTCGTCTAAACCGACTATCCAGGTGATCTTTTGGAGGTCTGGACGATGCATCCCGAGTCCCAGAACATTATCCAGTTGGAATAGTGGATTCCCGCGAGAGTGGAAAAAGACATAAGATGGAACCGATCACCTTTACGTTGGAGGATCAACCGGAGACTGGTGATATGGGGATGGAAGCACTCGTGGTGACCATTGATATTATGGGGTTTGACGTACAGAGGGTTATGATTGACACTGGTAGTAGCGTCAATATCTTGTACTTGGACGTCTTCCAGAAGTTAAAATTGGATCCTATTGAATTGACTCCGATCGCGACTCCTTTATCGGGATTTACAGGAGACACCATTCATCCGGAGGAAAAGATTACCTTGCCAGTGGAGATCGGGACCCCACCGCGGTCGGTTAAGACCCAGATGGAATTCTTGGTCGTCAACTTACATTGCGTTCATAACGCAATTTTGGGTTGACCAGCAATTATGCGGATCGGTGGAATTATCTCAATGCCACATTTATGCATGAAGTTCCCCACCCCAATGAGAGTTGGAGTGCTTCGAGGAGATATACATACGGCGAGAAAATGCTATTCACGAGCATTCAACAAGCGCGATGCGAGCAGTTCTCAGGTGAACACTATCCTAAAGGAAACAGAAAAGGAACGAAAAGAGCAACCGGAACCCTCTGAAGAAATCAAGGAGGTGTTGCTCTCGGAAGATCGTCCGACCAGAAAGGTGAAGATTGGCCGAGCTTTAACCCCTCCCTTACGAATGGAGATTATAGCCGTCTTAAGAGAGTTTGTAGACATATTTGTGTGGGGACTGGAAGATATGTCGGGCATTGATCGAACGATCATATGTCACCGTTTGGCTATAGATCCTTCCGTTAAGCCCGTCAAACAAGAAACAAGGCACTTGTAGTCAGATCGAAGAGAATTCTTTCGGGAAGAAGTGAAGAAGATGGCTGCGATCGGCCATATTTGGCCGGTAACATATCTCGAGTGGGTAGCAAACATAGTGTTGTTACTTAAGCCACCGTCATGGCGTATGTGCATCGATTTCACAAATCTTAAAAAAGCATGCCCGTTGGACCCATAGCCCTTGCCAAGCATCCATCAAATGGTGGACGAGACGGCAGGAGCAGATTTGATGAGTTGCATGGATGCTTTCAAGGGATACCATCAGGTAATGATGGCTCGGGAAGATGAGAGTAAGACTGCTTTCGTGACTCCGGATAGTTTGTACTGTTATAAGGTCATGCCATTCGGACTCTGGAATGCTGGAGCTACCTATCAACGAATGGTCAATTTGCTATTTGAAAAGTTATTGGGTCATACAATGGAAGCATACATTGATGACATTCTTGTCAAGAGCCATGACCGGGTAGATCACACCTGAGACCTTCGGCAATGTTTCCAAATCATGAGAACGTACCAGTTGCGGTTGAACCCTAACAAGTGCACATTTGCAGTTCAGACCGAAAAATTCTTGGGGTTTATGATGACTAAAAGAGGAATTGAGCCGAACCCTTCAAAGGTCAAAGCGATAATTGACATGCAGCCACCTGCGACCGTCCGGGAAGTTTAGCAACTGACCGGTCGCCTGGCAGCTTTGAGTCGATTTCTCTCAAAATTAGCCGAACGAGTGCTGCCGTTCTTTAAAGTGCTGAGGAAAGTCAATGGTTTTGTTTGGGATGAGGAATACCGATCAGCTTTCGATGAGTTGAAAGAATACTTGATGTCTCCGATTGTGTTGTCTAAGCCAGAACCCGGGGAAGATCTAGAAGTTTACCTTGGATTATCAGATCGAGTTGTAAGTGCTGTGTTATGCCGGACAGATCATGGGTCGGTACAACGACCTGTGTATTACATCAGCCATGCCTTACACGGTCCGGAGCTCCGCTATTCCCGAATGGAGAGGCGGTTTATGCTTTATACATTGTAGCAAAAAGGTTAGCTCTTTATTTTCAGGGTCGGGTGATTCGGGTGTTAACTGACCAGCCGATCGGTGCAGTCCTCCGTACGGCCGCTTATTCTGGTCGTTTAGTCAAATGGGCATTAATGCTCACTCAGTTTGCAATCGAATACAAGCCTCGACCGGCCATTAAGGGTCAAGCTTTAGCTGACTTTGTAGTCGAATGTATTGCCCGAGAGATGCAGCCCCAAGCCTCAGAGGATCCTGATGCAGCTTGGTGGGCGATTGCAACCTACGGATCGAGCAGTAAGAAAGGAGCCAGGGGGGGGGGGGGGGGGGGAGTCGTGATCACCAATCCGGAAGGTTTCAAGATATATTATGCTCTAATGTATCAGTTCGCTCCGACTAATAATGAAGCAGAATATGAAGCTTTCATTGTCGGTCTCCAATAAGTCCGGGAACTGGGGGCTGATTATGTTCGAGCACAAACTGACTCAAGTTTGGTCATGGGACAAGTGTTGGGCGATTATGAGGTTAATGGGGATCGTCTACTTTCTTATCGCGACTTGGCGTTAGAGAAATTGAATAACTTTAAGGCATATGCCGTTCGACATGTTTCGCGCTTGGATAATGTTGATGCAGATGTGCTGTCTAAGTTAGCCCAAGATGCCCCCGAGCACATTTCTAAGATTGCTCAGATTGTGGTTGTACCGGCGCCCAGCATCAACCGTTTACCGATTGCCCCTATCCAAGATGACGAGGAGACGTGGATTACAGATATCATGGGTTGTTTACAAGATGAACGTGCCGAGTGATCCATAGAGAGCTCGGAAAACCAAGCTTCGGGCGCCGAGATTTCAAGTTATGGACGACCAGCTATATCGTCGATCGTATGGAGGGCCATTAATGCGATGTTTGACAAAATTTGAAGCCGAACTCGTCATAAATGAGTTACACTCTGGATTGTGTTCATCCCATCAGGGAGGTCGCTCTTTAGCACGTCGCATCATGGTCATAGGATAATATTGGCCGTCAATACAGTTGGATTGTGAGAAAGTTGCAAAGGACTGTGAAGTTTGCCAACTGTACGCTCGGATGCCCGGACGCCTTGTAACATATTATCAACCGGTGAGCATGGCAATCCCGTTCGCCAGATGGGGTGTGGATATAGTGGGACCTTTCCCTCAGTTATCCGGTCGTCATCGTTTCATCATTGTCGCTATTGATTATTTTTCAAAATGGGTTGAGGCAGAACCCCTGGCGACCATCACTTCTCAGCAATGTGCCCGATTTTTGTGGCGGAATGTGATTTCGCGCTTTGGAGTTCCGATCCAGTTGGTAACCGATAACAGACGACAGTTCGAAGGACAATACTTCAAAAATTTCTTGGCAACTGTGGGAACTACCTCCATCCGGTCATCCGTGGCTTATCCTCAAGGAAATGGTCAGGTTGAAAATGCGAATCGCACCATTTTGGAAGGTTTGAAGAAAAAACTACATTCGGTAGGCCGGAGTTGGGCGGATGAGTTGCCATTTGTGTTATGGACATACCGAATGACGCCTACGGAAGCCACTGAAGAAACCTCGTTTGCGTTGGTTTATGGAGCTAAGGCTCGTCTCCCGATTGAGGCTTGGATCCCGACTGCGTGCGAAAAAGGGTATGATCCAGAAGAAAATGATCGGCTCCTTATAATAGACCTTGATTGCGTTGAGGAGAAAAGAGAATTGGATGCTCGTCGAGCGGCTGAATATCAAAAGAAAGTTAAAGCAAGTAGGGATCTCCGTGTTCGGCCTCTTTATTTCCAAGTCGAAGATTACGTTTTACACCAACGGGAAGCAAGCCTACCTTTAGAGGGGGGAAAGTTGTCACAAAATTGGGAAGGACCATATGTCATTTCGGCGGTCGTACGCCCGGGAACTTACCGATTGGAGACTACTACTGGCCGACCAATCGACCGAACATGGAACTCTGAAAATCTTGTGCTTTACCGGCATTAAAACACAAGCTCAGGTTTTTATTATTTTTAATTCTAAGCTAGGAGTGAACAAAAACCTGCGCGTTTTTTTGTTCATCTTAGTGTGTCATGTAAACCCGTTCGGGAGTTTATGGCCAGTCTGCGCACGGTGTCGCCGACTGGCTTTATTTATGTGTAATATTAGTAGTATTGTCAATCGAGTTTGTTTCTCTTTGATTTCATGTAGTCTCAATTTTGGGCGAGATAACGAAGATTTTAGCTGTCGGGAAGCCTGCCAAACTGATCTAATATAGATCTATGAGGGTGAAAACCCGCCGACAAGAACGTCGATAAAACTGGACCGGTAGCACCGGTGAGATTTCCGGCCCCAACCGAATAGTGCGATATCGCGGGGAATACCGCGTCGCTCACACTACGCTCGATAACGAGCCAGAAGGGTAACACCCATTAAGCATCTCAATCCGCTCAAGCATGATCGCGGTCGCCTGTGTAAACGCGAAAAACTTGAATTGTATATATTCAAAATTCAAAGTATCGGTTACAAGTAGTATCAAGTATATATCAAACGGGAAGGGGTACAATCTCTGTATATGAGAAGTCCTCTGATTCTCTACTACAAGTATGCCTATTGGAAGTATGCCAAATTTGGAATATGCCAAATTGGAAGTGTGCCGGGTTCAGAGTATGCTGAACTTGAAGTATGCCGAGTTCGGGAGTATGGCCGAACTGGAAGTATGCCGAATTCCTTGTTGAAAGTGTGTTGAGTTCAGAAGTATGCTGAACTGGAAGTATACCGAGTTCGGGAGTATGCCGAACTGGAAGTAGTTCTTTGCTGAAGGGCCTCCGGAGTTATATAGCTTGTTCTTCAATGAAGGGCTAATATGCAGCTTGATCTTCAAAGAAGGGCTTCCGGTGTTCAAGTGGCGTGTTCCTCAGCGCGGTATACGCAGTGCAACTGCGGGCGTGTTCCAGACGATATCCTGGAGAGATTTCGGCAGAGCTTCAATATGTAGATTTCCAGAGCTCCCAATTCTTGAAAATGAAACCACTATTTATAGTGGTGAGGGTGAGAGAAAATCTCCAACCAACTCTTAATTCCTTATTTAATTTAATTTCTTTAATTAAATTAAGGAACGTATCGGGACACCATTGTGTCTAGGTTCATGATTTCATTAAATTTCCAAATAATATCAAATATTCAAATTCCTCAAAATTATATAACCCACATATAATTTTAGTGGGCCAAGACCAAGTCAAGCCCGCTAATTAGGCAACCCAATTCATCCAAGCAGCCTGGTCCAACTCGATTAAATATTTCATCATCTCGGGCCAAACAATCCAACATCCAATTACATTTAATTAAGTAATTAAACCAACTAAATATTTAATGGGCCATTTAATTAACCGATTAAATAAATATTAGTCCAATTAGCTTAATTAAAGTAATTAATTTAGCAACCAATTATCCACCACGATCCAATAATATTATTTAAATTTTTCAATGCTTACAGCCTGTATTAATCCTTAATAAAGTCGACCGCGGGGGGCTAGGAAGGCGTGAGTATGTAAGTTACGAAAGAGTAGAACAAAAGCAAGATAAAAATATCGAACGCTAAAACAAAACATTATATTTTTGCAAAAGGTTAGATGCTCGGTACAACGGGACCGAGCTCCCGATCAGAAGTGCATAGGCAAAAATTTTTTACAAACAGGAATCAATTATGCGCCCGGAGCCTCCTTGCCGATTGTCTCGATGGTCACGAAGCCTTGACGGTCTGAGGCCCCGTCCTTCTCTGTCGCAGGATCAACAGTAGCAGGTGCTGGATCGGAGTATGGAGCAGGACCGGGGTCGAGAACGTCATCTGGAAGGTTGGCCAGCACACTTCGAAGGTCTTCTCCTTCGAAGACCTGCTCCATGATGGTATGCGCCTCTTTCCTCATGGCCCTCTGCCCGGACGCATAAGCCCAGTGACCAAAAGCCCACACTAGGTCTTCCCCAAGTTTTTTCTTCATAAATGCCCGGAAGAATTGCTCGGCGGATCTAGTGTCGCGGCACAAGAATGACCCAAGACCGTCCATGTTGCTCAGCCGGGTTTTTAGCTCGTCCGCTTCTTTCCAAGCGATGCGGGCATCTTTCTCCGCTGCTGATTGCGCTTCCTTAGCCGTTTTAAGCTCCTTCTTCAAATCGACGATTTCTTTATCTTGTCGACCGGGAACCTGCTTCAATGCCCCGGCTTCATTCGCCAAGAGGGTGCGGTAGTGCAAGTCGGTAAGCATGCGGGTGAGCTGCAAAGATAAGGGTAAGATACATAGATTATCATCAAGAGACGGTCGAAGGGAGTTGAGAGTAACAGCCTGAATGATGTCGTGAGCTCCGCGCTCGGCTACTTGATTGGGCGTCTAGCTTCGCAAGGTATCATCAGTCGGGAGCAGAGCGTTTAGCCTGGATACAAGAGAGCTCGCTGGCCCTCCGCTCGTTAGAGCCTCGATAAGTGGAGTGTCCAGGGGGAGGTTGCTTGGGCCGGCGCTTGAGCGGTACCACTTCCTCTCGGTCACTCCCTGTGGCCTTGTCTTTGCCTTTTTTGCCGTGGACCCGGATAGTTTGTAGCTCGGCTCCTAAGCTGAGAGAAGCGTTTACCTCGGGGACAGAAGCGAATGTCTCAACGGCTCGCTCGGTGACAGCGGCCGGGTTGGTACCTTCTGTGATGGATGGTGGCGGCCCGGTAGACGACTTCTTCCCGAGCGAGGCTTTGGCTCGGGGGGCTCAGTTGCTACCGGAGGCTAGAGCAGGAAATCCGCGAGCTGGACCCATATCTGCAAGAAGGAATAAACAATTTTATAAATTTAAGAATAATGGTCATAATAAACCTGGGGGTAATGAGAGTTAACCTTCGTCAACCGGGACACTCGGTTGAGGAGGTATGATGGTTCTCGCAACTGCAGGTTTCGGCAAGTACTTCAGCTCCAGGTCATACCGTGGTGGAGGGAATCGAGTGTTATCGTAAGCCTCCCTCGTCCAGTAGTATTTGTACTCGTAGTATTCACAGCGGGAGGTGGCTTTTTAAAGGGCTTGGGTGGCTGGAGGTTGGATTTGTTTTCTAAAATGTGATGCCCATGTCATATCGACCGGGAGGATCCAAGGCTAGTATTTAACCGAGAAAATCCTATTCTTCCACCCTCGATTATTTCCTAGAAGGTCTGGGATCGAGCAGAGATGCTATCGAGACTGTGCCATTAGAAAGCCTCCCTCGTATTTGGCCGCTAACGGCTTTACACTATAGATGAAGTTGAATAACTCCATGGTGCACACCGCGTTATGACGGGTGCAAATCTGAGGAAAACAAGCGATGATTCGGTGAGTGTTCGGGCAAATTTGCCCCGGCAACACTTGGTAATAGCCTAAGAAGGCGGTCAAAAAAGGGGAGAAAGGAAAAGTTATCGGGGCCTTTAGAAAGTCATAGTGAAGTCCGATCCATTTGCCTTTGTCGCGTTCTTTGATCCCGCCGGATGACCGTTTGGTGTCAAACGTTACCCGACCGTTTAGAAGCGCTACGATATCGGCCGCTTCTCTAGTCGTTAGGAGGCATTGTTGCCGATCGACGCTTTCGCTGTTGAGGAAGACCATTTCCACTTCCTCGACCACGCCTGGAGCGGTCCCTGCAGCGGTCTCGGATAAGGCCCATAAGGAGCGAGGCGATAAATGAAGACCGGGCCCAATCCCTAACGTCCGGGTAGGCGTCTATGGTTCATCGAGCGTTAAGGATGCTTGGGATGGCCTAGAAGTTTCCTCGTCGCCGTTTGTAGAGGCCTCCGAGTGTTCAGAAGTTTCCGTCGCTTTCCTGGGTGCGGGAAGAAGTTGAACACTAACCGTCGCCTCTGATGATTCTTCGATCATCGTCTCTTCACTATCGATCTCTACAGCGTCGTCGTAATCCGCAACCGAGGCGTTTTGACTATCTGAGCTCGGCATTATCCATCATAAAGGATTGGACGACGTTTAAAAGTTGAGGATCGGGTCGTGGAGACGAGTGAGGAAAGAAATGAAGTATAGAGAAAATAAGGCTAAAGAGAATCAGTTAAAGAGGAAAGTTTTAAAAGCTTACCGGTTGGTTGCTCGAGAAGCGTGAAGGAGCGGAGACAGAAATTCTCGATTGGTTGCAAGGCAGATAGGTCGGGAGTCTCTAAGGAATTTTTACAACGGTAAAAGAGTAAAAGGAGCCCCAAGGCCTCTATTTATAGGCGGTAAAATTGGGCGGCAACGCTCTAGAGTACTCGAGAAGTTTCTCGCAGATCACGAGGTAATCACAGGGTAGCACGTGGCGTGACGTCGGCAAGTGACACACGTGTAGATGATCGGTGCGGATGACAAATGGTGACCTGGCATCTTCACCCTAGGCTGCTTTTCCCGAGTCCTCAAAATGACCCAGGCTGGGGGTCTTTTGGTAGTATAAGTCCCGACTGAGAGCTCCACGTGTACTTCCCGTAGCCTCGATCCGTCTGTCGATCGGTTAGCCCGACCGCGTATCCGAACGCTACTTTCCCGACCGCATTGCATTTGCCATAATAAAGAAGGGACAACACGTGTCAATAGAAGGAGATGACAAAGAGCTAAGGTGGCATGGTGACACGTAGAAGACACGCGTGCAACATGCTGACGAAGAGTAAAGCTATAAATACCCTTCGATGGCTTGAGTTAAGGGACTTTTGGAAGATCAAATAGACTTGACCCAGAGCTGTCCGATCGCACCCGGTCGGTCCTCGAGTCGAGTCGTGTAGATTATCCTTAGGACCACGTGTATTAACATTATCAGTAGTGTTTCAAAAATGAGCTAGTAGCTTCTTAACTTATTTTTCTTCTTTATCATTATTATTTAAAATAAATGACAACCCCTACCTCTCCCAATTAAAATCCTTTTGTCATTATTATTATTATTATTATTATTATTATTATTATTATTATATTATTATTATTATTATTATTATTATTATTATTATTATTTTTATTTTTATTATTGTTATTATTATTATTATTATTATTATTATTATTATTATTATTGTTGTTATTATTATTATTATTGTTATTATTATTATTGTTATTGTTATTATTATTATTATTATTATTATTATTATTATTATTATTATTATTATTATTATTATTATTATTATTATTATTATTATTATTGTTATTGTTGTTGTTGTTGTTGTTGTTGTTATTATTGTTATTGTTATTGTTATTGTTATTGTTATTGTTATTGTTATTGTTATTGTTATTGTTATTGTTATTGTTATTGTTATTATTATTATTATTATTATTATTATTATTATTATTATTATTATTATTATTACTATTTAGGATTGTATTGGATTATATTGAGATGAAGGGGATTCGAAACAATATTGCTACTTCATTATAAGATGCTAGATCATGATTATGCTAATAGTTTCATTTCAAAATGTTAATTTTTAATATGTAAACAAACCTATTTAAATTTAAAACTATTTAAATTTTACATCTATCAGTGAGATTATTAGAAAGATAATTTTACCAAACACTTTTAAGCATAATTAACTAATTTTACCAAACACCGCACGGGAAGGCACGACCGCACCTGAACTCGACTATATATATATATATATATATATATATATATATATATATATATATATATATATATATATATATATATATATATTTACAATCAAATAAGACAATCTATTTAGGTGAGAAATAGGAATTGGTTTAGAGCGTCCATCTTAGATGTTTTAATGGTTGAGATTAGCCCTTCTTTTCTTCCTTTTTTTTTTTTTTTTTTTTTTTTTTTTGCGTAAATACTAATGAATTGGGGTTTTAATGTAATTGTCGTGTGTTTTATTTTTAGAATGGGATTCTATCCGTATCTTATGCTTGTTTTTAGGAGTTTAAATTGTGGTAGGAGTCTTTTTTTTTCTTCCCATTGTTGATTCTCGTTCGGTCGTTTGTCTACCATCTTTAGACGTCAGTGCACTCGTTTGCAGAAGATTGACGGTGTTCCTCACCGTTGCCTAATGATGGAATGTGTTAATGAAGTTATGTTTCTCTAAGTTTTTTTTTTGGGGTTTTTTGTTCTGCAATTTAATTATGGCGTGTTACGTGTGATTGTGCATGTGGGATCATTGTCTTTGTTCCGTAATTCGTTTTTAAGGGGTTGGAGTGTGTTGTTTGGAAGCATTTTGTTGTTTATGTTGGAGGTTTCAAGTTTCTTGCAATGCTCCAGTTGTCGGCCATGTTCGTGCTTTTGTTTTTTTGTTTTTTTTTTTTTTTTCCCGTCGGTGTGTGCATACCCGGTGCCCGCCGTGCGCATATCTGTGTTTTCGCCCTGGGCTAATGTGTACATGTATGTAATCTAATGTGTGAATTACCGTATTCTGCCGTCCTCACATGTGTCCTAGCATCCCTATTACCCTTATTTTTTGTGTTTTTTTTTTAATTATACCTTGGCTTTCCGGTAGTTTTGTGGCGGATTAGATATCTGATTTCCAGGTGGTGGCATTATTTGGTTGTTATATAGTGCATATGGTTGTTAAATTATGTGCACATAGTGGTTGTTGGTTGCTATTGTTTTTATTATTTCTCAATCGTCGGTGTTTTTAAAATTTCCCCTTCACCATTTGGCAGTGTCGCTTTCTGGTGATGAAGTTTCTGCAAATGACAGTCGTGGGTGTGTCATGGATATTTCTCCATGGAAAATGAAGTATTGGGTGCCGGTGTGTGACAATGCGATCAAGCCATTTGTTGGTCAGTGGTTTAGCAGGTTGGACGATGGTATTGAGTTCTATATCCGCTATGCATGTACTGTTGGGTTTAATGTTCATCGTGGCACGGATTCAAAGAATAGTTGTGGGGAGGTATTGAGGAAGTATTTATTGTGTTCTCGGGGAGGATTTAAGCAGCCTGCTAAGGAGTTGTGTCCGGGTGGTGACGTGGTTAATAGCCCATCAATATCAAAGAAGGGGCGTCGGGTTACGAATAGGGTTGGTTGTAATGCCAAGATTATTTTCAGGCTTAAGGGGGATGGGAATTATTTTTTGTTCTATTTGGAGGAACGACACACACATTGTTTGTACACCGAGGCATCCAAGCCATTTATGAGGGTTAATCGCAAGTTGGATCTCGGGCATCAAATATTTGTCGCCAATTGTGCGAAAGCAAATATTGGTCCTATCAAATCGTGGAAGCTTTACAGGCAAATTGTTGGAGATTATACTGATGTTGGGGCCACAAGTGTAGACTTTCAGAATTTTAAGCGTGATTTAATGGCATACATTAGCGGCGGCGATGCACAATTGATTGTTGAGAAGTTCCTTCATAAAAAGGAGTTATGCTCATCATTTTTCTTTGACTATGTTGGTCCCAAAAGAGGTAAGGAGAAAGTCTAGAGGGGGGGGGGGGGGGTGAATAGACATTCTAACTTTTTTCGCACAGCACAACAATTGCTAAGACAGAGAGATAAACCAAAACTCTTAACTAGATTGTTAGAGTATGGTGCACAGCGGAAATAAATAAACATAAAGTGTGTGTGAGATAGTGTGAGCAGTATATCTCGTGTAGAGCGAATATGTAAAGAGCAGTAAGTAAAGAAAGCAGTAAAGAACACAAGACAATTATAGTGGTTCCGAAGTGGTGTAATCCTCCTACTCCACTTTCTCTTATCTCCAAGAGCAATTCACTATATCTACCACTCCTTGGTTCCAATATACAATGAATTTCCGTGATCTAGTTCTTTGATCACAAAGCCCGCACTAATCACGCCCAGTGACACCACACTGCTGCTTCGGGTTTCACGTCGCCACGCTACTATCCCAGGATTTCACGACTCCGCGTTACTTTCCCCTCGTCTTCCACACTCCGGTAGAAACGTATCCCGTGATCTAGTGCTTTGATCACAAAGTCCGCACTAATCACGCCCAGTGCCTCCGACACTGCTGCTTCGGATCTCACAGCTCCGTGTGACAATCCAAGATTTCACAGCTCCGTGCTACTTTCCTCCCTTCTCTTGTTTTGCTCCAAAACAAGTGTTGTCTTACTTCCAACTTCTGAGACTCTGTAGATGATCTTCAATGATGCGCAGGTTTCTTTGATGAAGATTAAAACACTCTGGAATGATTTCTCTTGATAGCTCTGAGTGTTTTCTCTCTTTGAATATATCAAGTAAAGCACTTGATATTTTTGTTCTGCTTTGCTCTGTTTAAGAACTCTCAGAATATTTTTCTCTTGAAGCTCTCTGAGTTCTTTTTCTTTTCTCACTTCTCACTTGAAGATTTTTGGTATGCTCTGTACCAAAATGAGATTTTTGCTCTATGCTCTTTTAAGCTTAATTGCTCTATTCGATCTCCTTGATGAGTTCGAATTTTCTGCTCTCTTGTTCGTGAGTTTCTCAACTGCTCTTCTCTAGTTCTCTTTCTTCAAGTCTTCATATCTTCATCATTTTATAGCTGGTAATGAGAATCTGTCTGTTGGAAAGAGACGCTCTCATTTTTGAAATCTTGTATCATTTTGTCAGAGATCTTATCTTATCTTCTGCAAAGATGTCAGAAAGGATAAGCTAGCCGTTTGATGGATCTTAATCTCCATTTAAATGAGCTCCCAAACTTCATATGATATTCCTCTGGTTTAACGTTGAGTGGGAATATCTGGGTCTCTGTTTTGGTGTAGAATGGCTTCTCTGATCAGCTCTGAAGTGGTCCTTGTATCTTTGGGATTTAAAAATATTCATTAATTTAATTTGGCTTCTCAAATTTTACCTTGTAAAATTGTTAATGGTGAGATTCGAGCTTGAGCCATTTTGCATAACATATCAAGCATCATCCACTTCGTCCATACTACTTTTGATTAAATCTCCAATCACATTTTATGTACTCCTTTCTTTCCATAGATGCTTGATCTCCAAGTCAATTTCATGCATTCTTCCAATCTTAATTTTCTTCACGAAAATTCTTCTGGGATATTTCTTTAAGTAGCATTGACGTGAATATTGTATCATTCATCTTCTTCTTCAATTTGTCATTTTCTCCAGACAAATTCTTGATTTTAGGCGTTATATCTTCTTCTTCTTCTTCTTCTTCTATTTTCATGCATCTTCCTATGTTTTTCTCTTTTCCAATTTAAATAATTTCCCGATCATGGTCTAAGACTCTACTAGACCTAAGAAATAAAATTGGGGGATCTACAAATACAAATTTGGCATATCAAAACCATTACACTTTATTCCTAACAATTTCCCCCATTTTGATAATGCCAAAACCTATACTCAGTCATTGGCTTTAAGTCTTTGAAAAATAATCTTTTTTTCTCAATTTTATTTGACAAAGCCAAGATGAGTTTAACAATGGTTTTCTAGACACAATCAGAAGAAACTTGTGAATTAAATTTTTAGACAAGCTCCTAAACGCATCTTGAATTATTTTTATTTTGATCATCATCAATTTTAAATTTTGTCGTGCGTTTGACATATTTCTTGTCTTTTAATTCACCAAAGTCTAATTACATTAAACAAACAAAATTAAAGACTCAAAATAAACCATGGGAAATTATTATTGATATATTTCGAGAATATTGAGAAAAACGCAACAGAGGTTCGAAAATAGAAAATATCAGCTTAAGAGAATTTTTAGATTACCTTCTGGGTTTCTTTACACCAGATTCTTTCTTCAAAATTTCCTTGACATGTTCTCTGAGCTTGAAGAAATCATCTTTGAACTTTGCATTCTGAAATTTCTTTGTAAGCTGTCCGGCCATGTAATGTCCAAAAGTTTCTTTGATATTGTTGCCCGAAAGAACTCCGTTTTCCCACCATAAGACACATTCTTCGAAGCTTCTTTCTTCTCCAAGATTCATGCCCATATTTCCAGTGAAATCTCTTAATTCATACCACATCTCGGTTCTTTTCCTTTTGCCTTCTTCTTCTTTATTCTTCTCCGAGATCCATTGGGCTTGATCAGCTGCAGGCCATTTCTTGATCATGCTTGGTAGATTTTCCTTAGTTCATATTGTTGTCTGAGTGGCGGTACCCTTAGAGCATTCAAACCAGCCACGCAGTTCAGCAATCTTCGATGTACTCGTACCAAGACTAGGATTTGCGAACTGAGCAAAACCAATCTGAGATGGTCCTTGTGAGGATTGTCCGCGGCTTCGGCCTCTAGCTTGAGTGGATATTACTGGCTGTTGTTGGCTTCCAAGAATAAATTCTTGTTGTTGCAAAGCTAAGTGACTGAGAATTTCTTCCCCCCTTTTGGCGTTATCAACCAAAAATGCAAGGGTCTTAAAATCTCGGTCTTGGTTTGCCTTCACAGTTTCAACACTGTTGTGCGTTTCAATGGAAACGGTTTGTATGTTGTCCAGCTTGTTTGTTGTAACTGCGAGCTTAACTTCACGTTTGTTGATTCGGCTTTCTTGATCTTGAATCGCCTTGACTTGTCGCAAGTGGCGTTCGTTGTTAATCTTTTCAGCTGCTTCACGTTCCTTCTTCATGAGCTGAATCACTTCAAGTAAGTCTTTTGTCAATTCTCCTTTCAAGATTCTTTCTGCTTTGTCAATCTGAGTCTTCAAAATATTTTGATGCTCCATTAATTCCTTCAGATTGACTCGTGTATCCATGTGCTGTTGTTCTAGCTTTTGGTTTTGTTCAACCAATTTTTCTCCAATTGTTTGACAAACAACATCACTAGATTCGGCCACTTTGGCAAATAGAGATGAAAATATGCCATCATCTTGATCATTCATCTGCACAAAGTTTTGAGGGGATCCGAATGGACTTCTATTTGGATCTGTGAGAACAACTGTATCAATAAGTTGCATCCCTTCTTCTTCAGGTGATTCGGCTTCTTGATTGAGATCACCAATTTGTTCTTCTAGGACTTCTGTTCTCGTGTAGTTGTCTGCATATAATTCTTCATTTTCTAGAACAGGGTCCATGGTAGGCATGGTAGACTCGGTATGGTGTACTGGCAGTACACTGGATAGATTCTCTGTGATTTGCAGTCTACTCTCAGTAGCAACTTCTACTGCAACTTCCACTGGTATATCCCTTCTTCTTTCTTCTGACACTTGTTCTCTTACTTCTTCTCGTACTGACACTTCTCCTCTTAATTCTTTTCTTCTTTTATCCCTTTTGTAGCCATAAACAATTTTTTTTTTTAATTCATTTTTATTTTATTTTTATTCATATATTTTTTTTGTGTATCTTTTTGGCTACGAAACTTTTGATCTTTTTATATACATAGGGATTTTTCATTTTGTAGGAGAGAGAGACAGAGAGAAAATAGAGAGAATAAACATTCATTTTTATTTATCTCCTTCTTTTAGAGAAGGAGAGAGAGAGAGAGATAACATAGAACTTCTTCAACAGGCAGAGAAACCGGTACTCATGCAATCTTCTGAGTCATAACCTCCTGGTGGTGAGGGGGCGTATCCTGGTCTAGAGTCACCACTGGACTCACTTTCCTCGAGCATCGACCCGTTTGAGCTTGAAGATGAGTAGGTTTGATTGAAAAGCCTAGTAAAGTCCACTCGAGGACGGATGAACGGGTTGAGTGGCATCTGTTGAGGAGGCGGTGGAGGAGCAGGAACTTCTTATGGCAGAGGTGCAAGAACTGGCAGACTTGGTGGAAACTTTGGAAGAGGCTCTGGTGGACGTGGAGGTTGATAGAGCCCATCGAAACCGAAACCAGGAGGGGGTAGAACTGGTCCGAACGTCAGTTGTTTTAAATAGATGAGATATTCTGAATTGCTCATATTCAGAATTTCAGCATACATGTCAGGTTGAACAACTAGTGAAAACTTCATAAATGGAGGCTCAAACCCTTCCATTTTCTCTTGTTCCACAGATAGTTTCTTGTCACCAATGTATTCTTCATATATGAAGCCCGGTTCACGCGGTGGTGATTCTGCAACTGCTTGAATTTTTGGCGACTCCTTTTCTTGCTCCTTTTCTTCAGATATTAAAATCAAAGGGTTGCTTGGGGTTTCTCCAGCCTTCTTTCGTCCGTCCGTTCGTGTTGCCCTTCGGGGTTGCTTGAGAACTTTCTCTCAAGTTCTCTGAGTTTCCTTCCTCATCTCGTTCTCCTGAGACTCGCTGGACACCATCTTGTTCCTGCAAAAGAGTTCAAACAGCAAAATCTTCCACAGCAAATATTTCTCGGCTGTCTCCCAATAAATAGGGCGATCAGGGAGACTTATCGGTTCACTTGCCGATGGAGAGTAAATATTGCTTGCCGTCGTTTAGAGTTTACGGGATGTGACGGATAGCGGCAAGACTTCTCATTGGCTGAGATGGCGGTGGATGGGAAGAGATTTGATGGGCAACGATTTAGAGGGGAGAGTTTAATGAGGGGTTTAATTGCTCTGTGAGAGTCGATTGAGAT